ACTAGCGGAGGGGGCTGGCGGGGAAACGGTTGGGTCTGCACCCGAACGGACCGGGCCGCAGAGCCCCGCGGCACCGACGGTGTCAGGGACTGAGTGTGCTAAGCCCGGCGTGGTGCGCACGCCCGCAGTCCCAGCTCTCTGGGAGGCTGAGGCAGGAGGATTGTGAGTTCAAATCCTACCTCGGATCCTTTCTCAAAAAAGTGTGGGGGAGGGGTGATGGGCGCGGAAGGGAAGGGGGAAGTGAAAAATGATTAAGATTAGATTTAGCTCAGTGCTTCCGCCACCTGCCTGGTAAGCACAAGGTTCCAACTTCGGTCCTCGGTACCAAAATGAGAGAGAGAGAGAGAGAGAGAGAGAGAGAGAGATAGATGTATATGTACCAGTCCCCAAATTATGTATCATAAGCATATACTTTAAAAAAACCGACTGCAGGCTGGTTCATGCCAGGCTGTTTCTCGCCGGGCCTGGGACCATGGGTCCATGGGACCATGGGACCATGAGTTACTTAACTTCTCTGGGCCTCTGTTCCTATCTACAGGATGACAGTGGCAATAGCAGTGCCTGCTCATTGTGGGATCTCAGGACAGCATGGGGGTGAAGTCCTTCGGACAGTGCCTGGCACTGCTGGGTAACCAGGCACTCTCAGGGTGACATGGGCTGACAGACGCTGGGACACAGGGACAGGCGCTCTGTGATGCACAGAAGCCCTTGAAAACGCCCAAGATGGTGGCAGTATAACCAAGCCTAGAAGCCTCAGGGGTTTTCAAGTGACCCGAAAACACACCTACACAGGTGGGGGCGAGGGGACCCCTCAAAGGTAGCGGAGAAGGCTGAGTGTGGCGTTGCAGGCCTGTAATCTCAGGACTGGGAGGCTGAGGCAGAAGGATCACAAGCATTAGCCCAGCCTGGGCAACTTAGCGACTTAGTGAGTCTCAAAATAAAAAATTAAAAATGGACTGGGGATGCAGCTCAGTGAGAAGGACGTGGGTTCGATCCCCAGTACTGCAAAAAAAGGGCCCTGGAGACGTCATACTTGTATGCAACATTTATCTCACTTTCCAGGCAGGCGCAGCGTCCAGACTGGGGCTGCAGACTCTGGGCAGAGCAGCTCCCGAAGGGTCAGGGGGCATATCATTGAGACCCAGGGCAAGGAAAGTTTGTGGATGGCTTTCGGCCTGACCCATCTCCACCGTGGGGCAGGAGGCCAGAGGAGGCTTCCTTCCAGGCCTCAGAATGTGGTGGCTCTGCTGGCTGGAGGGGACATCTCCAGGGAAGTGGCTCCCGCTGTGTGGTCGTCCTGGCGGTCTGTGGGCTGGGCTCCTTCCCAGATAACTGGGCCACAGTTTCTAGTCACAAGTGGCCAGGACCCACAGAGCAGCTTCCTTCCAGGGCGGCTGCCCTCTATGTCCATTTCTTGAGTTTCACGAGATTTTTGCAACGAGGGATTTTTCCCTCTAGTAACAAACCCCATGGTGAGGTTATGACTCTCTAGACACATAGGGAAGGAGGAGAAATGAACGTGTTTAGCCTTGCAGAGAAAACCGAAACTCTGAATTGGCCAGCTGTGTCAGTGCTACAGGAAATATCAGAGATGAAATATACAATATTAGATCTCGCTGGGCGTGGTGGCACGCAAGACTGCAATCCCAGCACTTGGGAGGCCAAGGCAGGAGGATCTCTGTGAGTTCGAGACCAGCCTGGGCTACATAGTGAGTTCCAGGTCAGTCTCAACTACACAGTGAGACCCTGTCTCAACGCCCCCCAAATAAATTATATCTCCCAGTCTATTAACTATATGATACGCCAAGTTCTTGTTCTCTAGAAATCGAAGAATGAGTCCTAGGAACAAGAGGTTAAAAAAGTAGGAAGATATTTATTCATTTATTTATTTATTGGTACCAGGGACCGAACTCAGGACCTTATGCTTTTGAGGCAGGCACAGTCCACTGAGCTAAATCCCTGACCCGGGGAAGATATTTGTTTATTCATTTTTTGTTTGTTTTTTGGTACTGGGGATCAAACTCGGGTCCTTGTGCTTGCAAGGCAGGCAGCTGAACTTCTGAACTAAATCCCTGGCCGGAAGATATTTATTGATAGAAAAGCTCTTGAAGGGCAGGGTGCGGGGGGGTCCCAAGTGGGTAACCCGCAGACACTGTTTTACAGAGGAGTTTTATAGGGTGAAACCCACGTGGGTACAGCCATGTATACCCAGTAAGGTAGTACCTTAGGTGATGCTGGTCCAATTGGAAACAAGTCCTGTAACAAGTGTGGACAGAAAGAACAAAGGTTCTCCTAGGAGGTGGTGGACCCAGAGAGGTCTCTGGTCACCACCGGGTGGCTGATGTCTATCTAGACTTCACCAGGCTCAGTATTCTCTGTGGAAGTACATAGGTCCGGTCATCTTGTCTTTTTCTTGAGGCCTGCTTTCCAACCCGTCTCCGGTGCAGTGGTTTTTGTTTTTGTTTTTGGTACCAGGGATCGAACTCGGGACCTTGTGCTTGCAAGGCAGGCGGTGGAACCACTGAGCTAAATCCCTGGCCCTTCTGTATTTTTTTTTTTTTTTTTTTTGA